AAAACTGCTTAGATTTTGAGGTTACAATCTAGCAAGTTTTAAAGGTATAATCAACATCCTTCGAGACAAATTGCGTCTCCTTGTCGGGCTCTAAAGTGGGCACTGGAGGCTTTCCTTTCCAACATGGGCATGGCCTCTAGTACCGCCAGTTTGGTTTTGCGACATAGAACTGGAAACTGCAGAACATCTGATCCCAGATTGTTTAGAAATTTGTAGAAGTAGTTACATCTACGTGAACAGAGAATACGTTACCTCCATCCACTTATCAACATCTTATTTGTGACCGTATGTGATATAGGGTCGTTCACAATATACCATAGTTTGCAGAGCAAAACCTCAATTAATTTATCGATCTCTATGCTATAGTGGTCCAATATAAATGATTCCGAGAAATGAACAGGCTCTTGGTCAGAAAATGATGTGTGTGTATCTTCAAAACTGAAGAACTAGCTCGTTTGTATAGGGTCTCCGCTTACTAATCAAATAGCGATACTTTTGAAGAATGTTTCGCGATTGTTGGCGATTGTTGAGAAATAGACCTGGCATCACGGAGGAGCCACACTTTGTGCATTATGAAGTCAACAAAGAATGATTTGAATTTTTTCTTTTTCCTTTTCGAAATTGAACGATTAAAAATCATGACCCAGAAACCAAAGACATATTTTTAAATTTTTTTTTTTTTTTTNTTTTTTTTTTTTTTTTTTTTTTTTTTTTTTTTTTTTTTTTTTTTGAGTGGTGCCATATTATAAATCCCATAAAAACATGATCTGTAAATAAATTCAAATAATGTTTTAAGAAAAAGCTCAGAGATTATCCTGTAAATAATTTAAAGGAAAACCGTACTTCCAATAGAATATCAATGGATGTTTATACAAAAAACTCACAGTGACAAATGTATGGCCCAGTGTTAAATCTCATATCTATGTACTCATAATTTATATGTTTCTAGGTATGTAACTTTCAAGAATTATTATGCAGCGAGTGTTGCGCACGAACTACATTTACGGGTAAGATGTTCCACACGAAGCTCTACCTTAATATCCTGTCTTTATCCCATCATTAGCTACAAATCCACGCCGATTGATTTAGGACCGTGCATGTGTATGCATATTAAACATGTGAGCGAACACATGCCCAACAACAAACATACACAAATTCATATAAATGGATGTACGAAAAATACCGACGCAAACGCACCCTTTCGCTCGGCGAGTCGAAAAAATCGAAAATCAAAATAGCTAAATTGCGGCAGGGCTTAACACGTGAAATGTGTTAATCATTTTGTAATCATCGCTGCCGTTAATATCCTGCCAAATGGCACATCGATGAATATAAACAGCGCCAACAACAACGACAACAACAGCAACTAATGACACACAACATGAAAAATTGGCCACAATGACAATAAAATTACAACAAATATAGCAGTAATATTATGAACATCAACAACAAAAACAACAACAATGTTGCCAGAGCGTCATTGATAGCCTGCCTACACGCTGGCAAAGTTAATTTATATGCTAATTTTATTAACAGCACGGCCATAAGCCCACACACCGCACTGCTCTTCGCCTCTCTCTCAGCATTGCACTGCCCTCGCTGGCTGCCAGCATGCGGCTAAAGTCCAAAACGAATCCGACAATCTGACATTGTAAGCCAAAAATCAAACATATTTTATTAGACGGCGAAGACAATTATGCCACACACCCCACCCAACAGTCCGCAGTCGCCGTCGGCAGCAAAGTCTGGCAGATATACAGATATTAGAACTTAACTGAAGCATATGTGCCAGCAGAAGGGTGGGCGCATTAACACCAACAACCCAGCCGATTTGGTGTAGTGTCTTTCACCGCTTTAGCTGCCGAATGCTTCCTCACCCTCCTGTCGGCCAAACACTGATTTACAATTATTAAAGCAATTTATCACTAGCACGATCGAAGAAAGTGAAAAAAGGTGAATCAATGTGTTTGGCTGTCGAAAAACAAAGCATGAGCTTCGTGCGCCTTGAAGTAGGCTACACGCGATTTGTTGGCATTTCTCTAAGCGCGCATTTGGCATATGTAAATCAAGCGCCTCTCAATAAAAAACTCAATCGCATCCGTGCATAATCACAGGGATTCGGCAGGCATGTTCCGGACACACCGCCGTAGGGGTCCCGTTTAATTGTTTTATGGGCTGTTTAGTTTAGCATAGTTCTAGCCGAGATAAGACGCAATTAGCCACCTGTTTGTCTCAGGAGCGAGTAAGTGATACTAAAGCAGTGGGCAACAACAATAACAGCCACTTAGCTAGCTAGGAAAGCAAACTTTTGCCACAAAGTATCGTACGCTTGCTAACTACTCACGCTTGTATGTGTGTTTTCATATGTGAGTGTGTGTGTGTGGGTGAGAATGCTCATTCCTGTGCGCGTGTGTGTGCAAACGCAAACTTCTTTTCTCGGCCCATTAATATCCTTTGTCGGATTAAAATGTTGGCAAAGGCACGCTTCACACCCACACACATACGCATCCACAGATATACACACCCATAAGTTGCCGAGAGACAGTGCGTTGGCCGGAAGTACAAAATTTAATGAAGCAGTAAATTCGATTGTCGCATAAACAACGAGGCAAAAACAACAATAAAAACCAAAATACAACAACCTACCCACCCTTGTCAACTAACCTAACACAACAGCCGCCCCGCCGTCGAGGATAATGCCAGCGCCCACACTTCCTTCCTCCTTCCTTTGTTTCGTGCTACAAACACCAGTCTACATAAATGTGTGTATGTGTGTGTGTTGTGTGAAAGCGTCGAAAAACTGCATTGAAATACCAAAAGTGCCTGTCGGACCCATCGTAACTTCTGATATGTGCTGCCAGCACACGAATGCGTCGGCAGTCGGCCACTAAGTGAGCAAAGCGTCCTCGTGTGCATGTATGTGTTTGTGTTTTTGTGCACAAAAACGTACTTTGCCTTCTTTCAGCTGGTTGCAATGTCTTCTTTTTTTCTATAAAAATCTGAAAATATGTGTGGCAGCCAACAGCTTTTAAGCCAGGTCGACACAAATTTAACTTTATGCACCGCTATAAAACATAGTTCAGCCAACGACGACGGAGACGAAACGAGAGCGAAAGAAAGGGGAGCAGAAAATTTAAAATTGAAGTCAAAATCTTTTTTAATTTTTTTTTTTTTTTTTTTGACTGAAAAAAATAGAAAAAAGATGAAAGCGGAATAAAGAAGGTGATAAGATGGTAGTTTGAAGGGTTTAGTCGAGTATAAGCTAAAAATAGTGGCGCAATGTAATATTATACTTATGAATATGTAAATTTTGAAAGAGACCAGATATTGAAAGAAAATTGGAGAAAGAAGTGACTAAATACTTCCATTCTCCAAATTACAATGAGTCCGTCAGTACCCAGATAGGTCGCGTATTCATACTTCTATTGGGAAAAACTAGCTAATATTATAATCCAAAATAATTTAAAAAAAAATTTTTTTAACGTCTGAGACTTAAAGCATGAACAATGAGCTAATCCCATCTTCCAAATACGATTTGCAAAAAATCCACTTTACCAGTATGCTCCAAAGAGCTATTCCAAAGGCGATAAGCTTTTCCACAAAATTTTTGTATATTGCAATGATGGGTACTTGATTTCTAAAAATACTCAGTTTATTATTTTACATATGGCAGACCACATACTATCACGCTTTCTCTTTGGGAGAAGGTCGTAATCACATAAAAAACAGGGTGGATGACGCAGGATCACGGGACCCACCTGCGAAACTACACAGACAGATCGAAAATGACATATGGAATGGACGCTGGGATCTACTGCGCAGAGCTAGATCTCAGACAACCCCCCAAGCTCCCGGAATAGTGCGATATCCTCCTGGCGGAAATCTTTGCGGTCAGCTGCTGGGATATGTAATAGCGCTGGAAACGACATGAAGAACACTAATAAATGTATCGATAGCCGCCCTTCAGGGAATGCCCTTAGAAACACGGAGGCAATAGGTATGATTACTACCAGAAAGCGGCTGCATTTGCGAAAAGACTGCAGGACAGTTGTTGACCTAATCACATGCAGTAAGTGCAAGAAAATAGGCACGAGAGAGGCAATTGAACCTCCATCTGTCATTACAAAATACCAGTATATCTATTTATGGCGTTGCAGACATCTGAGAGATACCTAACATAACTCAAACCTGCAAGTGCTCCGTTTTCACACAAACTCAGTACAATTTCTCAGTATTCAAAAATTTATTCTTATAATATCTGCTCCTGGGTTCAATAAAATCTGCTGGCTACTTAAAAAAAGAAAGAAATATAAGAATTCAATAAATTCTTAGTGGAATATTCATGTGTTTCTTCAATAATAATACACAGGAAAACTTAAAATATCGCTTTTCGAAATCATTTCTATATTAGTATTGCAATTGTTTTTAATCATCATTGTTCATCACACCGTCCGTATGTATTTTCATTACTGCGAACACAATCCGAAAGCAATCACAACACTCCTTTCAGGCCGCAATGACATTTTAGAACAAATTTGCGGCCTAATACAACAAATCGGACATAACCAACTATTGAACACATACGAAATGTCATGTTGAACAAGCCGAACATGGATGACGAAAACCGCACTGCAACCAGAACCACCAAAATATCAAATTATTGTTTCGAAAACACTAGGCAGATGACCCAACCGAATCAGCGCTGCAAGCAAAGCTAAAAATCGACAGCAGACAAACAACAGTGACGCACGCTGGCAGCAACAGCAGCGCCACACAGCCTCCGCTGGTGACAACTATTATTCTAAGCCGACAAACATATTTGCGTAGCTGCCATCGCCGACAACCGCAATCAACTTCGACATTTGTGCGCTCGAAACCGCAACATTTCGAAAGTGCACTCGCTGTCAATTTCGATTGCAAATGGCGGCGCATATAACTGTCCGCTTTACATATTAAACACGTATTATAGTTTGCAGCTTCTATAGTTTTGGCGCACTTACCTGCACTCTGGACTCGGTCAGTCCGATGCGCATCGCAATTTCCTCGCGCATGAAAATGTCCGGATAGTGTGTTTTCGAGAAGCACCGCTCCAGCTCGTTCAATTGAGCGGGCGTGAAGCGTGTGCGATGCCGCTTCTGCTTGTTGTTTTTATCCGAGTTCTGCAAGAGATAGAAACGCTGTTGAACGTAAGCCATTTACCACTTAATCGATTGCATAACATAATGTAACAAATAAATTCTAGCTTATAAGGAGGCTGCGTTAATAAAAAATATAACCTCTTTCAGATATTTATAATGCTACATTATCTGCTGAGTTGTGGAACCTATCTAGGAGTCTAACTATTTATCCACTAGAAGAAGAGTTATTTAGTCTTAAAAAGCAGACCAGTAGTGTTACCGGCTATTAATTATAACATGTTGCCACCAGAAGGGAGCGTTGGAGTACATATATACATATAATCGTATACAGAATATTGGTCTTCGAAAATTTTTTCGTATTTTTAATTTCAACTTAATTTTTTTATATTTATAATGAACTTTAATGAACCAAATATGTACCATTTTCGTCGACCACTTTTAGCCATTTTTCCGCTATAGACATTAATCTATCAGTGAAAAACTTGTATGATTTCTCGGCGAAAAACTACGACAAGTAATTTTCACGAGCTTCTCTCAAAGTCCATTTGTCGAGCTTCACCGCGCTTGGACCACGGTCTTTCTCGCACATTATTGTCGTATTTGTTCCACTTTTCGTCTTCGGTTACCAATCGCTTCAGAAACTTTTCGATTTCATTTCGTTTCAGCAAGGAACCGCAGCTGTTAGTTCGGTCCATTAAATTTTTCACAGGCAATTAATGTGGTACCTAAACATCGAGCTTCTTTTTGTGCCAACCCCTTTTAAATGGTTCAAAACCATTTGATGATGAATATTATGTTCCTTAGCGATGTTATGGCTGTTTATGTAACGGTCCTGGTCAATTATAATGTATAATTTCATCGCCTTTTTCAACGAAGGTCGACCAGAGCGAGGTGCGTTTTTACATCAAAATTTCCGGAACGGAAGCGAGCGAACCATTGTTGTACTGTTCTGCATTCTTCCCATTTACAAATATAGCGAATTTCTTCATTATTTTCACTACTTTTTGAACAGCTGTAACTTATTTTCAAATTCCCGATTTATTGTTATTTATTATTATTATTTATTTATTAATTATTATAATTATTTTTTGGTAAATAAAACTTGAAACCTCTTCTTTCCAATACTATATGACCTCATGTGATTGGTAGCGCTTTGATATGTATACGACTGCAACGACATCTATCAACAAAATACGAAAAGACTTTTTCGACTACTTATATAGTATATCAAAATCAACATGAAATTGTTTTCAACACGTAAATTATGCCGCGGAAAAACTACTACAAAAAATTTGCAGAACTTGCTTTGATCATCTATTAATCAATAAACGCTAATCAGCGAATATTTTATTTGTTATGCATTGTCCATAAAAATCGATTTGAACTCAATGTGTCCAAAACCCCGTTAAATATTTTTTTGAATTAAGCCAAATCGTTATTTTGAGCGAATTCTTCACAAAGTTCTTACTAGCTGACTTCACTGCTTCAATAAATTTTTGTTTACACACAAAAATATCACAATATATAACCCGAGATATACATATATACATAAGTAACACACAAATATAATATACAACTACAAATATAGAAGAGAAATACACTTACTTTTTCAATTTTTTCGATAAATTTTCGTTTGTTTGAATGAATGAATTCAGATTTGTGCGCGCATTTCGCATTCATTTGCCAATTAATAAACACAATAGACGCGCAACATAACATACACACACATACGCATGTGAGCATGCATATATATGTGTGCAGGAAAATGTTTGCCAAACGCAACGCAAATGAAAATCGGTTATATTTTCATTGGTTCGAAATTAATTCAGAAATGCCCGATTTGGTTTTTCAACAGCAAGAAGGAAATGCAAAGAAAGAAAAGAAAAAACATCGACGAGAATATGAATTAACAAACATTCAATTATGTGTAAATATGTATGTGTTGAGAAAAAGTATGCACGAGCTTTATAAAATGCACAAGAGATGACGGTTGCACGATTTGCATTTGAAGCAACAATTTTACTTAATTTTTTTTTTTTTAATTTTTTCTTAATTTTCATGAATTTTTCTTGCGTTGGCCCGCCTGCATCGCTGTGGCTTGCATTTCATTGCTTGTTGCATGCTCACCTGATCCTGCTGTTGCATGTTGTTGTTATTGGTATTGTTGTTGTTATTGTTGTGATGCGGATTGGGCGTGTCGCAGAGGCCGCCAGTGACGTGCAGCCGCGCCCCGCCGCCACCGCCGCCGCCGTTCAGCACCGCGTCGGCCGGGTTCTGTGCATTCGGCGGCAATTGGCCGAAACTGTTGACGCCGGCGTGCAAGGCCGTGATTGCGGCCTTGGGTAGATCACAATCTTTGGGACCTGCGAAAAAAACAACGAAATTAAATATTTATTAAATAGTATTATATTTGCCATGGAATGTATAAATATAACTCAAATATGATACTGACTTAATTCTAAATCGAATCCTTACGGGAGTACTTAACAAGTAGACAGATATTGATAATTTGTTTGGGCAGTCGGTGCTTGCCCATCACCCAACTCTTCAACTGGGAAAGACGGTTCGAAGTAAACATAGTAAAATATGGCTGGGATAAAGGTATGTTGGCTACACGCAACGTTCTAAACATCCATATTGATGGCTTCAAAATAGACGACGGAGTTGGTGTGAGAATATACAGTAGAGAGTTCGGCATAAGGCAGTATCTTAAGTTGTCCAACCAGTGCAATATATTTTGGAGCTGGCCTCTAATGCACGTGCAGGCAAATCCAGCTTCAACAGCTACGTAAACAGCCAACCAGCAATTAAGGCAGTATGTCTGATATAGTATATCTGGTCCAAGAAGTAAGCAACTTTACTGCTACTGGGTGCCAGTCCACAGAAGTATCGATGGCAATGAAATAGTGGACGAGATTGCCAAGAGTATAGTGCGTCTCACATGTCTATACGACGATTTTGACAGAAACATGGTAAAGAAAATCCAAACCCGCTGGCTCAAGCTACCTCGGCCAAAAACTGCAAAAGTCATGTACAAAACGGTTGATCGAAAATATCATTGGCATTCGATAGAAGAGACTGTAGGAACATTACGTCAATAGTAACTGGTCACTGTCTGATCGCACGGGAAGAGTGCAGAATTTGTCTAGAGTAGGCCACCAGGGAAACAATGGAGCATCTCTTGTGCATTTATCCCGCATTGGAGGAAGTATCGACAGTGAGGCCGTAAAGTCTGTTAAGGACCTAATAGGTTAACCTAACCTAAAGTGTAGCCACCCACTTCATTTACATTCATAAGTTTATATCTATATTATAGCTTTTCCTAAAGCTACACTGGTTAACGCGTACACTCCTAATCCAGCTCCTTTTTTTAGGTACCTTTCAAAAGTAAAATTTTCATCAGGAAAATAATGTTTCTTTACGACTAAATTCGATTAACCCAATGAAATAGAACATTTTACTAATTACTTGCGAAAGAGCAGGCAGAAAGTTCCAACTAAGGCTGAAACAGCTTTGGAATAAAAGAATTTGTCTAGTCTTTGCATAGATATGCGTGGGTATAAGTTTGAAATTATGAAATTCTGAGCCAAGATAACCAAAGTAGATAGGTTTTTTTTTTGGTTTTTTGTTATTTAATTATTAAAAATTTTTCTTAAAATAGAGAAATAATAATGATTAAAAGTTATTTTTACTGATTCGCAAAATAAATATAGGAGTAGTTGCTAAAAGCGAAAATAAACACTAGCACATAGGATTTTTTGTCTTGTAGTTAAGTGGTTGTTGTAGTAAAAGCTGTGCGTGATGGAAAATTTTTGAACTCAAATTCGTAGTCAGGTCAACTCAAATACCCCACAGACCTCTTAGCACAACAGTCGCAAACTTTTTCGTCAGCTTTGTTGATATTAACTTCTTTATTATAATTTTTTTGCCTCCAAATAAAATAATTACTTGAGACTAAACTGACAAACATGTAATATGTTTCAAAACGTAAATTTTTAGCCACTTATTTGTATCTTCACTAGTTATAACAAACCTTAGATATATATAAGCAGCGACCCAATTTTGGTGGAGAACTGTTTAATATATTAAATTGCTTTTGATATTTTAAAACGTTTTAAGTATTTTTATAGTTGCCGAAATGCACAAGTTTCCCGATTTGGTTTATTTATTTTGATTTTTTGCTATTTTGAGATTTACTTTCAGTTTGGAAAGTACTCGCAGCTCATTAGCGATCAATGAGATATTAACTCATGCGTTTAATAAGCGAAAGTTAATTGAATTTGCACATATTTGCCGATGCTTGACACACAAAGTTATACACAGTATTGCGGTTGTTGGGCATATATTGTATTCACCGACCACAATAGACAAAATTGCACTGTGCGATCACTAAATCGGCTTATTGCAATTGCCGTGCGCTGAAAACACACACACACAGCACTGTTTCACTATTGCTTTTGTTTTTGGGCGCGTGCAATGATGACGCACGAGGAATCCGTTGAAGCAACACCGCTACTATCGCGTATCGCGCAACACTGAGGCGATCAAGTAAATTGAATTTTTCAACAACCTGTCATTCAAAAGATGCCAAAAACAGTAACAGCAACAAACGAGACGAAGCGAACGAAGTGCTACAACACGAACAACAAGCGACTTTAGTGAAATAACGGACGGACGCGACAGCAGCAGTCAGTAGTCGGCAGTAGCGGCAGCAAAAACGCTAACAACTTACAAGCACTTTTTTATTTGTTAGCCTCTCGGTGTTTGTGTGCGTGTGTGTGTGAAATCGCACTCGCATACAAACTCACTAAAACAGTAGCAACAACAATGCATGGGCAACATGTGGATGACAGTTGAACGAAGTTGGAAACGCCGTCAAGCAGGTGGAGATTGACAAGCGACACAGCCAAACACTCGCTGCCGTTTGCGGCGATGGCTGACGGAAAGGACGGACGGACACACACACACACACACATACATACACTCGAAGAGGAAACGACAGCGCTTACAGATGTAAGGGCGCAGAAGGTGGCGACGCGGCAAATGCCTAACCCCATCAACGTCGCTCATTGTTTCTGCGCCGGAGGCTGCGCTGATGATGGCGTTGGTAATGACGCTGATGGAGGAGGCATAGCGTAACAGACCAACAACAACACAACAAACAGCGCAGAGAGCGGCCACAAAAAAGGCAAAGACACCGTGAGCAAACAGAAGCGAACAGGTAACAACTCGTAATGCAACAACAACAACAAGAACAACAAAAGTGTACATACAAATGGAGAATTACGCCAGCGCAATTAGCAACAACAACTAAAAACACAGCAATAATCAATAATAAAGTTAAAGAAGTTAATGCCAACAGCGACGGGAGCACCTACACTCACACACACACACGCAGATACCAACCAACATAAGTGCCAACGTAGTGCGGATATAAATCAGCCTGACCAGCAGCAACGCGAAAGTGGTTCCGTGTCTTGCAAAGAGTCGGAATTTTTTAACACGTACATGCGAGGCGATCCAATCCCAGGCGCTGAGCAAACACATGCCATATGCACACACATGCACACGTACATACGTGGCTGAAAATCGTATACGTATTAAATACTGTTTCCCAATAACTACAAAAAAACGGTGAAATCACACCACCGACACCTGAACGGCAACAGCTCGAAGCGTTGCACGCCCGCTCGTGAAGTCACTTCGGCAGCAGTAAAGGCACTGTCAACAGCAGAAACAGCAAATATTTGTTTTGTTCGAATTGAAACTATTTCCAATACTCGATGATCGCTTACTGCGCGACTATGTCTAGGCTCAACTCTTCCACGGCTTGCGTGTTTCAACTGATGTTTTTGGCATCTGAAGGCATGCACTACAACCGAACGTGGCCAAGTCAAACATTTACAAATCGCTGGTGGATGTGAACTCACGTAAGTGCGAGCGCCTCGGCCGCGTCAAGTCAGTTCGAGTCATAACTGCTTGGACAAGGTGAGCCTCTGCGACAGTCGGTGGTGCAATGGTGTGTACGACAGGCGACAAGGGGAACAAAATACACATTTTTTCAAAGGCAACAGATTGCAGGGATTAATTTTTGAAGGAAGGTTGATTTGTTAAAGGGCTGAAAATAGACTCAAAAAGCAATGCTATACCAGATTCCTATTCAGATCAAATTCGATCTGAGATTTATATTATCAGCCAAGAGACTAACTCTTTCAAAACAAATATAGAGCTCAATTCAGGCGGAATTGAATTGTAAACATATGGAGGAATTGTAAACAACTGCTTTTCATCTTGGAGATCGGCTCAAACTCAATGCATTAGTAATTATGATGTCCAATATAGAAAAGTTATCGGAGTAAATTTCTGCAACCCCTAAAGTCTGAGAGCCAAAAGCGAACTCTACCAACTAAAAACCGTTCAAATACTTCTAACTACTGAGTGCCACAATAACCAGTTATATAAGTCCCCACTCTCAACTGATCAAAAATCATCACTCAAGTGAGTCTTTTAATTTGCTGCGCACTGTAATTTTTAGCTATGATTCCCTTGTTTTATGTAAAGCGAAGTAAAGGGCTATCAATGATGTCCTCAGAGCTATTTGAGACTATGCGAAGGCCGGACAAACTGCTCTTTACTTAGTTTCTCGCACTCGCATTCGTGTTGACTTTGTTGTGGAGGTGGAAGAATAGTAAATTGTGTGATTTCCGTTGAAGACACGAGCGTAATGTATTCGAATTATGTCGCACCAAAGGAATGTGTAGTGTGTATGTAGTCGTGGGCACAAAATATAACGAATTCGTAAGACTTCTACAAAAAGTCAATATTGACATCAGCAAAAAGTTGCACCTTAAGCAAAAACATACATAAATAATAATAGGCATACATATTATGGTAAAGCGGGTTGATTTACAGGAAGCCAAAAAAGCGGAAAAATCTCTCATGGAAGAAATGTTTTACAGATCATTCTAAGCAACTTTGATTAAGATTAAGATACTGTGGTTCTAAACTGACTTCGAGCCACCGAGTGTTAAGCCGCTGTTTTTTGGAGCTCATAAATATTTTCTCGTCAGCTTTTGAGGTATACACGCAGGTTAACTTTGATATTCTCTTGATCATTTGTCGGAATCCGCCAGATCGGACATCATTTCACATTTCACTCATACAACGGATTATTCAGATTTTTTAAACTTTGTGTTAAAAATCGCTGGATCGAAGTCAGTTTTAGACCCATTCTTTCTTGAGCAACGGAATTCAGAATAATCCGTAGAACATTTCCCGTACAAGTGATTTTATAAAAAAATCGACCTGCTCTAATATGCATAATTATATTATTTTATTACATACATTTTTATTTTGCTAATAT